TCATTGTGGGCAGAAGTGGGAACGTGTTTGTTTGTGTGTGTGGATGCGCGGCCGCGTTCCCTTCCGCTTCTCCTCCTCCTGCATGGTGGCACAATTCGCTCTGATGGCATCCCCGTTTAGGCCTGATCCATTCGCCAGCGCAGATGTCCACTGCCTAGCCGCTGCCTAGCCGCCGACGCAAAAAGTGTGTGGATGCACGTCCTGAGGTGAGCATGCACCTGGAACCTGGCAGTCATACCGTAGGAGGCCCCTCGCAGCAAGACTGCTAGACGATACCCCAAGCAGTGCTGCTTGCTCTTAGGGGTTCAGGTTTCGACTGCCTCGAGCATTGGACAGGCACTCCGAGTCTGTGTCCACATTGCCGCCTCGTTGGCGCTCGTGGGCGCCCCGTGCGTCAGGCGGATCCGCCGAGGCTGCGCCGTGCTGCCGCCCGTGTTGCCCGAAGCCCGAAAACCATCACGTCACTAATTTGGGGCCCCAGGGCCCACTGAGGCCCCAGGGGCCCCAGATTATTGAAGTGATGTGTTTTCCCACGCAAGGACCCCGAAATGCATCCCTTCCCTAAACCGAATCCCCGGACGAAAGTCAGGGGCCGAATTGCTGCTGTGATGCAACATAGGTCTCGTGTGTTGCCTCGCGGGGCACCCGTGGGCGCCCCCGTGCGCCGGGCGGGTCCGCACGGGGGGTGCGCCGTGTCTTGCCGCCCCGTGGGCGCTCGTGGGCGCCCCGTGCGCCGAGCCTGCACCGCGTGGCTTTGCGCCACGCGGCCTGCACGGCACGTCTGGCACCGCACGGCTTGCACCGCACAGCTTTCACCTCCAGCTCAAACCACGTATGCATACATATATATATATATATATATATTTATATATATGCACGTGGTATATATATATATATATATATATATATATATATAGCCTACACGACGAGCAAGAAGAACACAAAGAATAACATGTATGACCAGGTGGGGGGCTACCATATATATATATATATAGTAGAAGACATGGCTGGCACCACATGCGCTGCAGCGCATAGCTTTCGCGCCCATGCCACACAGCTTACGCGTCATAGCTGACACACGCGTAGCCTGCACCGTGCAGCATGTTCCACCACAGTGGGGTCCACGGTGGCTTACATTTGGTAGTTCAACACTGGCAAGATGTCGTGGGATAGTCCGAGGCATCTCGACGTCTTTCTAGGAAGTCAATCATGCGGTATGTTGCGTTCTGTTTTTCACAGCCGTCGCCGTGTTGCCCAGCAGCGGGGTCATGCATCACTTTTCACGACCCTCGCACTCAGCATGGTGAAACCCATAAACACGTCCTTGGCATCGGGCTGTCCTGTCGCCATTTCTCTTCCTCAAGCCAAGTGGCGCACGGCGCAGGGTTCTGATCAAAGGGGAGTGATGAACGAGCGGAGCTGAGAATGCTCGATGACGAGAGCCTCCTCTGGGCCTCATGCTCCTTGTTACGCTGGCCGCTGACCCCTGCTGGCTCGTAGTCCGTTTTGGTACCGTACTTCACACTTTGGTGGCCTCCGATATTGCACTTCGATGCGCGTGCATGGTTTGATGTGTTCGGACAGGGGGAACGGGGAATGGTGGGTAAACGGGAGAGCAGGAGCTGGACGAGATGGAGGTGGGGCCAAAAGGGGATGGTTGGAGGAAGCGAGCAGGAGGACAGCGGAGACACTCCGCCTCCTAATCTCACCGCTGGATTGCGGTCCACCAACTCGCAAAACTCGAACACCACGCACGCCACCGCACGCCAGCCATTGCATGCGACGATCTCTTCGCTTGCCCCTCTGCTGGGAGCGTTCGGTAGTGCTGGACTCGTCCCTGTCTCTCTGTCTGTCTGTCCAGGTGTCCAGGTGTCCAGGTGCGTGGCCGCGACTGTCCAGCACGGCTCTTCTGCGGATGCACCGTGCCTGCAGACCACAGTCGGAACATGCTTTTCTTTGTGCGCATCGGTGGGACTGTACCTACGTCTGCACATTCAAGTAGGAGCATGTGTGTGGCATCTTGCAGTCAGGCATAAGGAGGCCAAGCTTAGAGAGTCTGGCTATAGCCGGGGTATCTGCAGGCCTTCGGCCCATCCGGCGACCGCGCTCAGGTCGTGAGCCAGGAGGCCTCTCGGATGGGGAAGTCTGGAGGCCGATCAGATGCCATCTCGAGCCCTCGGGGTTGGAGGCGCCCAAAAACATTCAGCACCTTTACCCCTCAATATTTTGGCCTCCCAGGGGCCTCCTCGAGAGCACTTCGAGGGGCGCCCGGGAGGTCTCAGGACAGTCCATCAGCCGTCTTGCGCGGTCTTCTCCGCGCTGGCGGGCGTCCTGGGGCAGGCTTGGGAGGTCCGATGGTGTCGGAGAGGCCGGAGTGCCGTCTTTGCCCTCTCTAGAGCCGTTCTTCGGAATATTGTTGGTCGTCGAGGGTCCCTAGATAATCTTAGGAGGCTATCGGGGCCAAAGAATTTTTCACATGTGCAATTCCAGTGAGCCATCTTACCCTCCGAAGTAATTTAGACAACTGCGACCACGATGTGGTCTTATTTTGACGCCTGCGTCTTGGGGATCCCAAAGTCGCACATTGGAAACACCAGGCGTGACGGCACAGAAGTAGTTGCACTGACCGCGACAACTGCGGTACTATATTGACAGTGTGACAATGCTTCGAACATCGTAGCTATTTGGGCTCAAGCCTTTCGTGAGTTGACTCCCCGTCAGTGCCGCTTCTAGTCATTGGAACCTCCTTGTTAGACACGCTGCGACACGATGGGCAACTGCCACGTGCCCCCTCACTTTGCCGTGGTTGCTCCTTCCGGAGAAACTGTCTTGAAGGCAGAGAAGCAAGCTGTTAGAAATTGTGTAGCCGCCATCTACTTCTCCGCATACGGCCGCATCTTATGGACCGCCCGGGAAATCAGGAAGGGACAGGACAATGGCGACGTGCCTGGTGATGCTTCAAGTTCCAGAGACGTTGTCTCCCAAAATGCTCTCCAGGATGGGCACGCCACCGAAGTCGAAGCATGCCATGACCATCGTCCACGACTTCCTTTCCAAACGCAGTCTGACTGCTTTATGTTTGGTACTTTTCAAGGTTTGGAGGTTCTTGTGTGCATGTGACGGCGTTCTTCGACACCATTGGTGGTCTTCGAGCGGGTTGTAGATTGCCAGGAAAGCCTGAAGCGCAATGAGGTGCAGAAGCAGCTCACCTTACAGCGGTGACAATGGCATACTGTATGCCCGCCACTTTACCAATCCGGTAAAGACCAGTTCGACGTGAACGAAGTTCATGGTTCGAGCCCCTGATGAGCGAGTACCATGGCTGCGGCGGATGGGAGTCGCCAACCCTCTGGAGCTGAGGGTCGCTGGTTTGCACGGCTCGAAATCTGCACGTGCTGCCTCGACGCCAGTCGCCCATCCTTCTAGAATTGCCACCGCGTGTGAGTCCATTTCGTGCAGGGCCATCTGGACGAGTTGGTTGAGGAAATCGCCGCTGCGGCGGGGAAGGAGGACACGACGATGGACGTGTATCAGGGTCAAGGAGACTCAGGACGAAGCCGTGCCCAGCAACACGTCTGCACCGCCAACGGCCGGAGGTCCTGTCATCGATCATTCCAGTCGTCAAGCTGGTCGAATGCGATGGCATCGTGTTTTGCATCCCTGCGCGATTCGGCAAGCTACCCGTGCAGATGAGTAATCCCTTGGATGCATCAGGCAAGCTGTGGCAGTGTTTTCAGTTGGTTGGGAAGCTGGCCGCCTCCTTCGTGAGCACAGGCGCGCACCATGGCGGACAAGACGTGACACACATGATTGAGATTACACATGTGACTTTGTTTCGATTGTAAAAGACGTTTGGGCATTCTTGCAGGGCCCACTGCACTATGCTGACCCGAATCATCTGCATTAGTACCATCAGCGTCCAGTGTCCTTAATTGAGGAAGTCTTGTAAACAGAACAACCGTCGAAATGTTGCTCTTTCTTGGGATCTTCGTGCTGCACTGTAATGTGCTTTCGGGTGGTCTCCTACCAGCATGGAGCTAGAGCTTGAGATTGAGCATGCGCAAGGGCATGGATGTACGAAGCTATAAGTAAAGCGGAGTGCAAGCGAACTTCTGGAGTTCATTCTCAAACTGGAGAAACCATAACACTACAATGGACATAGAAACTACACCGAAACTGAATCCTCAGAGCGAAGCAAATCAAGTAACGAATGCACCGTGCAGGTGCTCTCATCCTCAACCTGCTTTACCATCCGCAGACCGCCCCACCAGGCACTGCACATCCGAGGGTCGCAGGGTGCCAGGGCCAGAGTGCGAGGTGCCCGGCCCCCGAAGCTCGGCGACACGAGACGATGCCCTCCCGCTGGTGGCCAGGGGCGCTCCCTCGGCACTCCCGGAGCCGCCCAGAGGGTTGCCGTTTTTTGGGGTTCGGGCTGGGCTCAAGAGACGGGGGTCAACACAAACTCTAGGCCTCCTAGATGGGGTCGGAGTAGATGGGGTCGGAGGATCGCGCCGCATCGCCGATGCATCGCCGATGCTGCTCGATGTGGAGCCCGATTTTCTCCACGCCGATGGCGCCGATGACTCTCCGACTTCGCCGATGCATCGCCGACGCATCGGCAATGTATCGCAGATGCATCGGCGATGTATCGCCGATGCGGCACGATCCTCCGACCCACTCTTCTCGGACCCCATCTAGGAGGGCTCGAAAGAGACGGGGGTCAATACAAAGGGGGGTCAGCCAGGTCGCCGGATCTTGCAAACGGGGGTCAGCCAGAGCCCCGGCTCTTGCAGGATCTTGCAGAGCCAGGGTTGCACTGACCCGGGTTTGGGTGCAGCATCCTGCAGGATCTTGCAGGATCTTGCAGGACCTTGCAAAGCCCGACTGGCCCGGGTCTGGATTGACCCGGGTGAGTAGATCCCCGAGAGACCCTCCTTCCAGTCAGACGCGCATCAGAGGCCACTCTCGGCAAGGAAGTGCGAAGGGGGGTGCAGCCTGAGGACTCGATCGAGTTCGTGAATGACGTCAGCCCGGACCTGCCGAGCGCGATGGGCGACTCTCAGAGCGTCCGCGCTTGCGGGGAAGGAAGTGTCTGGGATCGGGTCCGCACCGTGCGGGAGTTTCTTGCCCGACTAAGGCACGTCCAGTCAAGACGCTGAGATAAGGACCCTTTTTGGCCTCGGGAGGGGCTCTGGTTTCCAGGCCGTTTCCTAGAGTAAAGTAGTGCATTCTTTTCGTGGCCGACGCTCGCAGTGACCAGGAAAGCCCCTTCGTTCCTGACTTGGCGTTCTTTATGTGAACCATGTTCTGGAAAGGTCCAGTCGCGTCGGACTTCACGTGGCGAGCTGGGGGCGCAGAGCTGAGAAGAAGGTTGCCGACCGAACCCAGTGCCAGGGTGCGGAGAAAGTTGGGCTAAGGATTTTTCGTCTTGTGAGCTGGGCACCTTGGGAATCAGGATCTGTGCCGACCCCAGCGCAGAAGGCAGCTGTCCCATCCTTACTCTCACTCCAACTCACTCTCTCACCTCTCACCCTTCCTCTCACATTCTGCCTGCGCTTGCCTTCCTCATTTTCCACACTCATGCGGCCTGGCACTCGTACTCATGCCCGCACTCGCACTCGCACTCACACTTACACTCGCGTTCACACTCACAGCCGTGCTGACAGCTTCACTGTCACCCTTGCTCTCGCTCTCACTCTCATTACTTTTCCCCATCCCACGACCCCTCACTGCCAATCTCACTTCCCACGATGTGCCTCTATCCGTAAGGGATTCGCCCCCGTGTCGCCGGCCCCCCTCTCTTAGACTGGGACTTGCCAGAGCTGTGTTGGGATGTCTGGACGCTGACGTGAAGCAATGTCGGGACTTCACAAACTGCAGAATTTTTCACAATTGCGCATCTTGCATGATTTGTCCTATGTTTCTTGGTTTCGGGGGCGCGAATATCGTGTAATGTACGAGGGCTTATGGCTTCGGGGACGCGAATATCGTGTAAATTAGGAGGGTGATGGCCTCGAGGGCGCAACTATTGCGTACTATGCCAGGTGCATGGCCTTGGGGACGCGAATCTCATATACTTTACGAAAGTTTATGGCCTCGAGGGCCCGAATCTTGTACAATTTACAAGCGTTTATGGCTCCGGGGACGCGAATATTGCATACTTTACAAAAGTTTATGGCGTCGAGGACGCAAATATTGCATAATTTTCAAGGGTGTATGGCCTCGGGGACGCGAATCTGATGTAATTTACTAGGGTATATGGCCTCGGGAGCGCGAATCTGGGGTAATTCACTAGGGATTACGGCCTCGGGGGCGCGAATCTGGGGCAATTCACTAGGGATTAGGGCCTCGGGCACGCGAACTTCATGTATTTTTACATGTCCCACGCTCCCCCCAGGAATTCAGACAACGCAGTCTGGGCGTTGTGAAAAAGCTGGTTTGGGGCTCCCCCCCCTCGCGCGTTCAGCAACAAGTAACAGTAAGGACGCAGAAAGCAGGACTGTAACCGTGGAAACTGGAAGCTGCAACTGGAACAGGGAGCTGCAATCCTCACCCTCGCAGCCCGGTGGCCCCGCAAGGGGACCGGCGGGTTACCTTCTCGCAGTCGTAGCCTGTTCGGTTTATACGAGATTTACCGTTTGCACCGTACTGCTCTCGCAGCTTCTCGCTGCCACCCTCTCGTGGGGCCAACATTCTTCTCTTTCACACACGCTCTCTCTCTCTCTCTTTCTCTCCGACTCTCAGTTTAGCTCCCGCTCTTGTTCCCGTTTCCGCTCGCTCCCAGTCTCCTTATTACGCCCGCTCTTCCTGCCATCCCTCTCGATGGCCGCTCTTTCTGCTCGTACTTGTCACTTGCACTCCCATTGTCGTCGTCAGTTGTACTTTCACCACCACTCGGACTTTCACTCGCACTCCCATTCTCAACCTCACTATATTTTGTTCTCGCTCTCATTCTTACTCGTTTCCTGTGGTATCTTCCTTCGCACTCGTTCGAACGACCTCTTTCTCAGTTTCGATTTCATTATGGTTCTCTCTTGCACTCGTTCTTCAATTTTCACTTTTACCATTTTCTCTCATGGCCATCCGCATACTCTATTTCACCCACGCTTATAGGCAACTCGCTTCCACTCTGACTTGTACTCAGCTTCGCGCAGTCCCGCGCTCTCACATCATCCCCACTTGCAACACGCTGTTTGAGCGTTACTTGATAGGCCTTGCGCTTTCGAGCTTAATCCTACTCTCGCCCTCATTTGCAGACACTTCATCATGCTCTCCCTTTCTCTCTCTCCATCTCTCTCCATCTCTCTCCTCCTTCTTCTCATACTCGTGTTCACGCCCTCTCTTGCTCTCGCGTTCACGTTTTCTCTCGCTCCCGCCCTCACTATCACTGGCTCCCCCTTGGTTACTCCCGCTCTCGCTCTTAGTCGTGCTCACTTCCACTCCAGCTCTCGTTCCCATGACCTCCTGGTCCTACTCGCACTATTTATTGATTTTGTTCATCCCCCTTCTGCTTTTGTTATTATTTGCATTCATGTGTCTTCGGAGGGACGGGTGTGCCAACCCCGTGCGGGCGCCCGAGAGTGTTGAGCCATCGCTGCAAAACCCTCGACCCTTCGGCGAGGTCTCCACGATGCTGTATCATCTTCTCACCAACGCGTTCAAGTTCACGACACAGGTTTTCCGTGCGGCCGTCGTGTTCGCTTGATCCAACCAGGAAGTATGGTAATGACCGAACCCGTAGCATGAACACGTCACCAGCAGTGGTAGGAGTAGTGGAATCAGTAGTAGCATGAGGCGCAGCAATAGCGGCAACAGGCACGACAACATCATGCATTATCGTGCTATATAATTCGCGGCAGTTTCGGTTAACGTCGATGCAGAACTTGTCGCACGAGTTGCATTCGCAACCTCAGCGTTTATAGCACATGCAGAAAACGGTCAACTCTTACTTCGTGTGGCATCGCCTGGGTGTGTCTGCTCCCTCGCCGACTGGCCCCATCTAGATGTGTTTGCTTCTTTTCATCCCCATCCCTGCACCGCTGGCAAACCATGGAAGAACGTAGTGTCTGTTGCAATTGGAATTGCGGTGGTGGTGGTGGTGGCAGAAGTGGTGGTAGCATCAGCAGCAGCGGCCTGCAGTAGTCTCATTTGCAGCACGTGCGTTAGTCGTATCAGTTTGATGCATTGGCAGTGTAGTCGTATCAGCGGTGGCAGGGGACATGCAAGCCAATTTATACGTGAATGTATACGTTTGTGTGCGGAGCTGTCACGTACAAGCATACGCACAAGCAAGCGTGGATACGCACTTGGGAATAAGGGCCACAGTACACATACACGTATACTAGGAGATGGGCGTAACCATGCACAGGACAGCAAATAGATGTTGACGCAGAGGTCGAGGCAGAAGCCGATGGGTACTTTCATCGTGCAGGGCCGTGTTCATCAGCACTGGTATATGTAGACGTAGTCGTAGCCACATGGCATGGCAGCAATTTGACATGCAGCCGGGCGATTATACATACAAGACGCGGTACTAAATAAGTACCCATGGCAAAGTTGTGTAGAATCATTTGGGCTAGGCGAGGAGGCAGAAATGCGTTACACCCATCGCGATCACGCGTATGGACAGAGCAGGTGGCAGAAGCGGTAGCAGTAACAGTCGCAGCAGCATTTGCGGTGGTAGGATAAGCAGGGGAAGTGGGTATTTGGCTTCACTTCCCCAGGATGCCTAGTGCCTCAGATACTCCCCTGAAGGGCTGGCCCTCGGCTTTCTGCCACGTCCCGGCCGCTTATCGTCCTGGTTGTATATAGCTGGCCCCCCAGGGAGTTATCGGGCTACAGACCCAGGAACTTAGAGGACTTGAAGCCGCAACGTTGCATTCTTGGTCAAGGTTGCTCTCCGCCATCCTGCTCCGTCTCGCAAGGGAAGCGTCAAGATCTACGCCGAGAAGGTCAAGCAGCCCCCTGGGATCAGCATCTCCGTCCAGGACTCCTGTCAGTATCTCCTTTGAAGTGGGCGAGAAGGGGCTGCGTTAGCCAAGATGTGCATTTCCTCGTCTGAGCAAATGTCGTGCCACATGCTCGCGGCTGTTTGAGAGCTTGAAGCCCACACTGAGAGCGTGTGCAGAGCTTCGCACATGTGATAAACAGTGCCATGACATACAACTTGCTTCACAAGTCCCACCATCCTCGGCTACGACGAAGGCCCTCGGTCCAGGAAGACCATCCACCGTATCCTCTGTGGTGTTTAAGAGGCCCACGCGCTGCCGTGCACATTGGCCTGGCATCTGGTGCACAACTTGTCGAGTCGTGTGTGTACGGAGCAATGAGCTTCGCCAACTGCTGCTGGACGCGGCCATCGCGTCGGTACCTCCTGCTCTGGTCAAGCGCCAAGAGGAACCACACAGTAATTCTGCGTGTCCCGTGGCATTCCTCAATGCTTTGCAGTGCATTCCAGCGCGGCTCTCCAGGACCCCGGCCAGCACGGTAACGGAAAGAGCGCTTCAGGAATTTTTCCGAGAGGGCTCATGGCACCGTTCGTTCTTGAGAGCCTTGGCGTGAAGAGCCTTTTCACGTCACAGTTCGCTCTGGGAAGACTTGGTGCGAATAGCTTTCCACTCCATCGTTTGCTCTTGGGGGCCTTGGCGTTAAGAGCTCTTTACGTCACCCTTCGCTTTTGGGAGCTCTGGTGTGACTTTGTGTTGCGTCGCCGTTCTATGTTGGGAGATTTCGGAGTCTGACTTAAGAGCTGTTTAAGTTATCGTTCGCTCTTGGGGGCCTCGGCGTGAAACGCTGTTTGCGTCACCATTCTCTCTGAGGAGTCTTGGTGCTCATAGCTTTCTGCGCCACTGCCCGCTCTTGGGACCCTGCGCATTGAAAGATTTTCACGTCAGCGACGCGTGTAAAATTGTGTTTCCAGTCACATGGTGCTCTGTGGAGCCTTGGCGTATCGGCGGCACTTCCTTCCATTTCAGTCGTCAGTTTTGCTCGCAGTGCTCAGGAGGAGCTGGGCGTGGAGCTAAAAGGAAAAGAGCCTTGGCGTCAAAGCTGCATCCGACATTGGGCCCCGTCCAGGGGGGTGCTCTGGGGGCCTCTTCTGGTGTCTTGGGGCCCCGTTTGGCCGTTCTGCGGCCCTCTTTGGGTCGTCTTGGGGGCCAGCTACTCGGGGCCATCTTAGGGGCCCTCTTCGGCCTCTTGGGGGCCTCCTGCGGCACTCTGGGGGCTCTCCTGGGGAGCCTCTTGGTCCTCTTGGGCCCCTCTTGAGCCGTCTCGGGGCTCTCGGTGGCCGCCTGGGGCCCTCTCCAGGGCCCTCTTGGGCCGTCTTGTAGCCCTCCTGGGGGCCTCCTGGTCTGTCTTGGGGCACTCTCGGAGAGCCTCACAGCCGTCTAGGGATGATCTGGGCCCGAAACGCGAGAACCAACCAAACATTGAGCCACACATCAGGAGCATCAGCGTGATTTGTCTCAGGCCGTCTGTGGGGTCCTCTTGGGATGCTCTTGGGCCGTTCTGGGGGCCTCAACGTGTGTTTCCTCATGCCGTCTGTGGGGTCCTCTTGGGGCCATTCTGGGCGGTCCCGGGGGCGTCTTGGGACGTCTTGGGAGCTTGGGCCGTTCTGGGCACCTCTTGGGGTCCTTCTTTGGGCCCTTTTTTGGGGGTTCTCCTGGGAGCCTCTTGGGGCCCTCCTCGGCCCCTCTTGGGGGCCCCTGTGTGGGGCCCTCTTAAGCCGTCCCGCGGCGGCCCCGACCTCTCCGGGGGGGCCCGCGGCACAGACGCAGGCCCCCAGCCTGGGCGCCAGCGCCGCGCGGAGGGCGTCGGGGGCTGGTCGGCGGCCGCCCCCCGTGGCGCTCCCGCGGTGGGTGCGCCGCGTGGGCACCGCCGGCGCCGCCCTCGCCCGAGGAGCGGGCCGCCGTACGCGCGGCGCGCCCGGCGCCTCCCCGGAGAGTCTTGGAGTCGCCGCGTCCTGCAGTGCCTCACTGGCCAGCATCCCCCTCCGCTGCTGGCTCTGGTCCTCGGTTGCCCCGAGGATGTGGAGGTGTGACGTGGATGTCAAAAAAAAACAGTGCCTCACTGCCGGCTTTGAAATACCGAGTGCGCTGCGCAGCCGCGGGCAACCCTCCGAGGGAACGCAGCGCGGAGAGCTATGATCCGCGCGAGAAGACCGCCCCCAAGAAGCCGCGCGCATGGGGGAACGCCTTTGAATGTATCCCAACACCGGTCGCCCAGAGCAGATGCATCGGGGCCCCGCAGGAGGGGCCAGAGTAACGCCCGGCTCTCGCCCGCGGGCGGGAGCAGGTCGCGAGGCGCCAGGTCGGGGGCCAGCTCGGCAGAGCGCCCGCCAGCATCGAGGAGATGGTCATGACGGAGTCCATCCTCGATCGCCTGTCAGCCAACGACGCGTGCGCGTCTGAGTCGGTTATCGCGGCCGACCGCGAGCAGGACGACGGCGAGCCGCCAACGTTGCTGTCCGGGCCCGGCTGCGAGACGGCGGCGCAGGGGGGTGCCGCGGAGACCATGCGCCGCCCCCCGGCCCCCTTGCGGGCGAGGCTGGCGACGGGCTGGCCGGTGGGGGTGGCGAGCGCGGAAACCGTAAGTGCGGCCGCGGAGGTCGAGGTAGCTTCGACGGTCGCCGTGGGCGAGGATGAGATGGCGGGCGCGAACGGCGCGCCCGAAGGGCGATGGGCCTCTTCGCCGGCGGCAGTGGGTGCGTCGCTGGCACGCGACAGCCCGAGCGAGAAGCCGGACAGGGCAGGCAGTTTTGCTGGGCGAGCCCGTCGCAATTTCAATGACGTGGTGGATGCTTTGAATTGGCTTGCCAATTGTAAAGAGACGGCCACTTGGCCGAGTTTTGATCAACAGGTTGTGCACGCGCGGATCCTTGACCTGGTGCCCCCCACCGCCGTCCTCGGAGACCGCGGTGGCCTCCCCCCGCGGGCATCCTTCAACGAGCTGATGCACGGCCGCTGTGTCCATGGCGAGTCGGCTGGATGGGACTCTGGGCGTCTTCGCGGTGCGGGGCAGATCACTTTGCCTAAGGCAGCGGTGGGCGTGCCTTGTCTCTCGAGTGTTGCTCCTGCCCGTGCGCGCCATTTCCGAGATGACGGATTTCCACGAACGCTCGTGCCCAGTGACCAATTATCTCATCGCCACGCAGGCTGCGATGTTGCCCCCCTCGCTGGGGCCGCCACTCGCCAGGAATATCGATGGTTCTGCGTGCGCGTCGCCCGACGGCTGGGCTCGGAAGGGGTGCAAGTTCTCTCTGGTGAGGCACGGCGGCGCGACACAGACGCAATGAATCGTCGATTCCCTGGAAAATATTCGAAAATATGGGAAGTGGGGGGTAAGACAAAAACTCAGAAACTAGGGGAAAATATTGGGAATCCTGCTATTTGTGTCTGTTCATTTGTGTGCCCCAGGGCCCCTTCAAGGTCGGCGCGTTCTCTGAGTCCAAGAAGAGCGGCCAGCTGCGCGCGAGCATAGATGCAGGGCGCCGCAACTCCCATTTCACCGGACCTCCAGGCGCATCGTCGGCGGCCGCCGAGGGTTCTGCCCGACTGGAGGTCGAGGCGGACGGGGCCCGCGACGGAGGCGGGGCGGCCCAGATTTGCCCCGGGCGCCTCGGACATCGCGACGCCTTCCGCCAGATCCGCGTCGGCCGCCAGACGTCGGGCCATTTCTGCACGGGGCCCCTTCGCTCCGGCGAGTTTGGCGTCGTCGGCGCCCTTGTGCGCGGGCGGCGTGTGGGCGGCGACGCTCGGCGGGCGGCCCCCCCTTCTAGGGGCATCGTATTTTTTCCCTGTCAGGGGGTTGGTGGCGGCGCGATGCGTTCCACCCCTCAGCTTGCGAAGGTCCTCGACGTGACAGATCGCGGGCCAGTGGCGGCCCTGCGCCCCGGCGTCCCGCTCGCCGATGGTGGTGGGCCCAGTGCGCCCACGTGGCGCGCCGGGCCTCGACGGGGAGGCGGCTGGTCCGGGCCCGGCCTCAGCCACCCAGCGCTCTGACGAGGCGTAGCTGCCGGCGCGCGAGACCTCGATCCAGGAGGGCCAGGGCGAGACGCTCGGCGGCGCGCCCCTGAGTGCACGCCTCGCCGACGCGCAGGGGTGGCGCGTGTGGCGTGGGCTCGACTGCGCCCTGGGTTGCTGGGCGCTGCCTGGCTGGGCGTGGGGGGTCGCGATGGGGCACTGCGCCAACTGCGCGATGCGCGGCCGCGGCCTGCTGCCTGCCTGTTCGGCCACTTAGTTCACCGCGGCCAATGTCAGCGCTGTCGCTGCCCTATGGGCCAGCGCCCGCGCCGAGCTGGTGGCCTTCCGAGGACGCGTGCCGTTGTTGCGAGGCGAGCGGGCGTTGTCGCGGAGTGGCTCGGCGCGTTTGTCGGGTGCTTCAGGGCGCGGCTGCGCGGTGTGCGCATCGATGTTTGGCGAGAGCAAGGTGAAGAAGATCGGTCGGGTGCAGGGGCGCTCCCGATCAGGGCACCTGTGGGGGGTGGGGGGGGGCGCCCCGCCCGCCAGGGCCCATGTCTTTGCCTCGAACGGGGGCGCGATGACCAGCAGCGGCGTCCTCGGGCCAGTGTCGGAGCTGGAGGAGGACGAGACGGCCGCGCTGGAGGTCGAGTGCGCGGGCGGGTGGGGCGGGGCGGGGGGGGGGCGGCCCTGCCTTCGAGGAGATGGGCCCGCGGGTTCTTCACGTTCCCGCTGGGCAGAGTCGCCCGCGGGTTGCTGAGCGCATGCGAAAACATCTTGGCCTATAAGCCCTTGCCCCTCGTGCGTGCGGTGGAGATGCAGAGCGGTCAGTCGCCGCGCGCTGGAGAGCATGCGAAGCTAATGACAGACAATTTGCCTGCAGTGCTTTGCTCCGAGAGGAGACGGAAAACGATGTCGTGGGCCTCGCGTGCGTTCGACGTGCCGCTGCTATCTGTCTCGCGCTGAATTCGCGCCCCCGCGTTCGATGGGCGCCCGACGAGCTTGATCTGATCGACGAGGGTTCGCGGCTTTTTCCATACGAAGGGGTGCACGCTTGGGAGAGCGACGCCGAGACCAGGGGAGGTGCGGTGAATAATTGCAAACTTGCAATGCGCGATGCACGGAACCAGCGCGAGCGAGCGCCGCGCGACGCGAACAGATGCGACGCGATCATGTGCGGCGCGAACGACATAATCCTGCCATGGCCCAACCGAGCGCGACGCGATCGAACGCGGCTCGATCAAGTGCGGCGCGACCAATAACAAGCACAACGCCAGCGAGCTGAAGGAGGGCGCGAGCAGCGCGAGCAAGTGAGTGCATGTGCCGCGCGCTGCAGCGCTTTGATCCGTAGCCATCCCGGCTCTGCCGCCGGGCCTCCCTGCCGGGGCGCCGGGGCGGCGCGGTCCTGAAGGTGCAAGCGGCTGGCGCGATCAGCAGGCGCAGGTGCCGTCGTGGGGCAAGCGTCGGCGGCGACGGGCCCGCGCAGGAGGGGCCATCGCGGCCTGTCAGACGCTCGCGGTCTCCAGCCTCCAGCGCTGCTGGCGGAGGAGGGGGCCCATGCGTCGGCGCGGGCTGTGGATTTTTTTCCAGAGTCCGAGGTAGCGGTGGCCCTCGGGCCCGTCGCGGCCTACGAGGGGGGGCGGTGCTCGCGCGCGCCGCGGGAAAGAGAGCTGCCTCTGTAGAGCCACCCGACGTCTCAGGTAGACAAGGTGATCTCGGCGATTCTCCGGATCCAGATGCATCTTGGCCTTCTGGGAGGGTTGCCGGCCCCCCGTGGCCTCCGCGGCTTGATGGGCCTGCCGGGGCCTTCCCAGGGCGACCCGAACGACCCAATCGTCTTCTTCCCTGGAGCTCAGGCTGCCGCGAGGACGTGCCTGGCGCAGTGCAAGGGCACCCTGCCCCGCCCCCCTTCTGGCGAGGATGATCACGAACCTGGACAACGCGTCGCCCCTCCCGAGATTGTCCCTGCACAGCTACCAGGGGCTGGCGGGCAAAATTGAAGTCGTTCAGGAGGAGCCCCAGTTCGTGGCCCCGATGCTGCATTCAGCTCGCTGCCGCTTTCGAGACCAGCTCGAACTCGAGAGGGGGCGCGAGTGGCAGTGCGGGCCGCCCTGGGGGAAAAGAGGGCGCCCGCCTCCACCGCCTCCTGAACCAGCGGGCCCAGTGGGGGCGCGAGGCGGTCGCGCGGGCGGACGTCCATATCGAGGGCGCATTTTTCGGCCGACTGGTCGCCGAGCCACCGTCGATCAGGCGACTGGTCGCTGATGGGCGAAGGCAAGCGGCCCTGCTTCGCCGACCTGTTCTGCGGATAGGGAAGGTCGGTCAGGTCAGCGGCCGCAGTGGTTCAGCTGCGCGACAATGGGGCGCGCGACGCGGCAAGTCTTTCGATATGCCCCCCCCCCCCCCCAAGTTCTCAGGCGTATCGACAGAGATGCAAAGACAGGCTTCGTTTGGGGTGCATCCCTGGCGTGGGCGTGCACCGCATTCTCCATTTCTGGGATGCGGGCCCGTTGCGTTCGTGCGTCTGCGGGGGGCTTGGGCCGTGCGTATCCCCTGTGCCCTCGTTGCGGAACCCTGCCATTGTGGGCTGTGCCACGACCTTCTCCGTGCCCTCGTCTCTGCCATATACACTTCTATATATGTATATGTCTCTCTCTCTATATATATAGAGGCATTACAAACATTACTGGATTCGGGTGTACTATGGACGCCTTCATTTGTCCGAGCCATTTGTTGGTGCTTAGCCCTTGCTTTGAAGTGACAGCGCCCCTCGTCCTTCTCTCCTCCTCCCGATCCGTCCTCCTTCATCCTCTTCATCACCATCGCACTCATCATCATCATCATCATCATCATCAGCCCCGTCATCATCACCATCATCGTCGTCATCATCGTCGTCATCATCACCATCATCGCCATCAGTTTCAGAACATCTCCCACGCTTCGTGGCCACATATGGAGCTCCACCGAAGGTCCCAGTGGCGCAGCCCGCATGCGTTCCCGCCACCGATTTCGGCACACCCACATACGTCTTTCCCAACCATCCTGTGGTTTTGTTGGGTCATCATTTTGAAGAGAGCGCCCCACGCCCCTCGTCCTCCTCCTCCTCCTCTTCCTCCCCATTCTCCGTACCGTCCTCCCTCATCCCATCATATTCCTTCTGCCCTCCGCACGTCTCTGTTTTGGCACACCCCTCACACGCTTCGTGGCCCCATGCGGAGCTCCACCGAAGGTCCCAGTGGCGCAGCCCGCATGTGTGGCACACCCCTCACACGGTTCCTGGCCCCATAAGGAGCTCCAGCGAGGGCCTTAATGGTGCAGCCCGCATGCGGGCGGCACCCCCGTTTCGGCACACCCCTCACACGTTTCGTGGCCCCATGAGGGGGCTCTACCTCAGGCCTTGGTGGCAGCGCCCGCATGGCGGCTCCGCCCCACTTCGGCATATCCTTCATACGCTTCGTGTCCACATGAGGAGATCCACCGAAGGCGACACCCACAACGACGGTACCCCCAACTGCATATGGTTGGGTCCTTCGCCAGGATAGTTTGACCCCATAGGGAGTTCCACCGAAGGTTCAGTGGCGCAGCCCGCATACGTCTTTGCCACCAACATCAGCACACCCTTACACGTTTCGTGGCCCCGTAGGGAGTTCCACTGAAGGTCCCAGTGGCTTGGACCGCATGCGTCCCCGCTGCCCATTTCGGCACACCCTCACACGTTTAGCGGCGCATCCCACATGTGGGCGTCCCCGCCACCCATGTCGGCACACCCCTCACGCGCTTCATGGCACCATAGGGAGCTCCACCGAAGGTCACGCTTCGTGCCCCCATGGTGAACTCCACCGAGGGTCCCAGTGGCGCAGCCAGCATGCGTCCACGCCACTCATTTCGGTACAACTTTCACACGCCTCGTGTCACCATAGGAACTACGGCCACGTTGGCAATGCTCGTATGACGGCCCCGCCCTGTTTCGGCAGACCTTTCACGCGCTTCGTGGCCCCAAAAGGAAATCGACCGAAGGCGATAATCACAACGACGGTATCCGTAAATGCAAATGGATGGGTCCTTCGGACTAACAGTCTCAGGCGACAGTCTTTTTATCCAGATCGGGGCCAACACAGCCGGATCTTTCCAGAGGCCGTCGCCGAGCTAGTTCTTTGCCGTATTTTTCGAGACTGATTTGCTGCTTTGGAACAGGAGGGGAGTGGTCAGACGTTTGAGTGTTTGCACGTTGTCGTTTTTGAGTTCCTCCATTCTGATTTCCCATGCCATTTTGGCTCATAAGCGCACCCGCGGCCATCCCTCCGTCTGTAAGTTGTACAAGTCACTGGGAGCTTTCATGTTTCAGTCTCAGGCTACAGTTTTTGTATCCAGATCTGGTCCAAGACTGCTGGATCTTCCCAGAGGCCGTTGCCAAGTTCGTTTCGTGCCGCGTCCTTCGGAACAGATTTGCTGCTATGGAAACTGAGGAGGAGTGGCAAAGCACAAACGATCAAACACTTAAAGGAAAGCAGTGTTTTTGGCCTCCTGAGGCCTTGTGGATGGTCTTCTTGAGGGCCTCTTTGGCCATCACGGGCCCCCTTGGACCGTCTTGAAGCAATCTAAAGCTTTCTTGTACCGCTCTTGGGCGGTCTTGGGTTTTCTTGGAGCGCTCTTGGGCCGTCTCGGAACCCTCTTGGACCTTTGTTGGGCCGTCTCGGGGACCCGTTGGTCGTTTTTGGGGGGCTTTTTTGGGCCGTCTTGGTGGGAGGGCTGCCGTGTTACCCGGACCCAGTCGTAGATGGATTCCACCTGCCAGAACGTAATCATTCGTACCTCGCTCTTTCCGTCACTTGGGCTCCGACAGTTTTGATCGAGACGGGTGGCGTTGCTTCCGCCAACGGAGAAGAATTCACCTGTTGAGGACAATCTTAGGACCTTGAGCGTCATTTTGGGCATTTCTTTACATTTGGCGAACGAGAAGCGGGACCTCGATTATCTTGAAAATCGGGGAGAGCAGGAGGGCGAGTAAGATGAAGCAGGCAGGAAGAGGGGGATTAATAGTACTGAGCGGGTATGAAGGCGAATGTAGAGGACGAGTTGGAGGAGAAACAGTATGAGGTGGAAAGAATGGAGTATGCAGACGTGTGAGTTTGGAGGGGCGTTCCCTGGGCCAGCGCATTCGTTTCCACCTTCCGCAATTAACTTTTTTTTGTTTCCCCAATCAGTGCTTGCATTGACGGGGTCCTACCGGAGATTAAAAGATTCGGCGAAAGTGCCGGGCAGATTTCGGTAGGCGGCCAGGTTCTTAGGTTCCGGGGTTCTTTGTTCCAGCTTCCCGGACTTCCCGCTTGCTGCTGCCGGACCGATTTCGGTAGGCGGCGGGGAATCCGGGTTTCCGAGTTCCCGGGTTCTTGGTCGATCTCTTCATTGATCGGTCTTACCATCGATCTCATTACACATTTATCTATCGATTTCATGATCGAGATTTTAGAATCGAACTCGCAATCGATCTCACTATAGATCGCACGAGCGATCTCACGATCGATCTCACTGAATCGACGTCACTACCGGACTTACGATCGAACTCACGATCGTCCTCACTATCGATCCCACTATCGATCTTACGATTGATCTCAATATCCAAGTCAATAATTCTCAAGCCATCGACAGATTGTTTTTTTCTCTGGCGTAATAGTTCAGCACGATCCAGCTTAATGTAACTATTCTGGGTTCGCTGCAGCCTTGGTTTGCTCACTTTTCCTGGACTTTCCCAGTCAAGTGTTTTTCCGCCCGGCGGCGAATTCCGAACCTTCCCCTTGCTGGTCAATGGTTTAGGCAACTCGATCGGCGGCGGGGGTCGTGTTCGGAATTCGTCGAACACGTGTCGAAATCCGAACCGTACCCCCGCGTCCCATCGATTCAGGGGAACCGATGTTTAGTGGGGGCAGGGCTCGGATGTCGTCACCTGCAATTTTTTTGTTTGTTTTTTGTTCTTTCGTTTCTTGCGAACGCAACTGCGCATGCGATGTATGTTGTGCGCGCGCTGTTCGCATCGCTCATGCAATGTCAAATATGCTCGTGGGAAGGAACGGCGTGACGTCCGCAGTGTGACGTGTTCAAGCATATTGTGCATGGTATTCACGTCGAGGCCATCAACGAAAGTCGTTGCGACAGGCTGGCAGAATACCTTTCCGGCCCATTGTTGCTCTACGGCGTCTTGGGATTACAGGAGTGTTGTTGGTCTCGCGGTTCCAGTCGTGGAGAGGTGCTGCCTCGCAGCTGTGCTGGGCGTGGAGCAGTATGCCCCAAAGAGAAGATTTAGTATGCGTTTCGCAAGAAGACGCTTTTCGTGTGTGTGTGCCAGAAAGGCAGAGAGATATATACAACCAAATATCATGGAATGTAGCTCTCCATTTGAAGATTGATAGCTCTTCGGTAACTCACCAGCTACATAGACAACGTAGAGAGTGCGTCTTGCAGGTGATGGTTATACCCATGCAATGCACTGGGAACGCGCATCAAGGAACCAGGTGATTCTCGTCAGGGTTCTGTCCTCTCGATTGATTCGATCCGCTCGCTGCGCGGTGACTTCCCTCGGCCTTGAAAGACGCTGCCTCCCGCGCATGTATTCAGGCTTGGATTTCTTGTGAGGGTTTCTTGCGGCCGCGTCCGCACTGCACTGCGCCACCATCCCCGGGATGTCTTTGCTTCTCGCGGCCTCTCTGGCTTGCACCGTGCGCCCCCTCCTTCGACAGGACACGGGCTGCGGCATCGCCGCGCAGCACATCGACCGCATGCTGGAGCGCAGTGCCGCGGCCCCTCTCCACGCGGGGACCCTCCCTCGGCGTCCTGGTCGGCCGACTGTGCTTCCGTTCGGAGGGCGCAGCGACCCGAACATCAACCCTCGGAGCTCCGCGCGGCTGTCCTGCATCGGCGCTGGCCCCACTGGGCGGCGCTTCCGGCGCCGCCCCTGGCGCGCTCCGCGCGTCAGGGAGCGTGGCCCAGCGCCGAGCCAAGACATTCGCGCGCGCGTTGAGCTCCAAAAGTCTAATTCCCCGCATTCTCACACGGGGCTCATGGTATTGCTCAGATGCCTCCGCTCACTCGCTTTCCTTCCCTCCTTCCGCCTCATACTCAGACACCTTCATATTCAGTTTCATTCTTATTCGCACACACGCATACTCAGACTCACTCACACCCAGGCTCACGCACACTCAGACCCACTCATACTCAGACTCACTCATATTCATTTTCATCCATAGTCAGACTCCGCTCACGCTCAGACAAATACTCACACTCGTACTCACCCACAAGCAGACTCACTCGCACTCAGACCCACTCGTACTCATACCCACTCACACTCAGACTCACTCATTTGCATACTCAGACTTACTCACACTTAGAATCGATCACACTCGCAGATCGTGAGGATGTCTCGAGCGAGGCGCTGGTTTGAGCATCCCAAGGGGGAGCCGCCAGAGGGTATTTCACGGGCCCGTGTGGGCCAGCTTGTGGGGATGTCTCGTGCGGTTTGCCTATTTCTGTGTTCAGACTCGTTTGCTTTCAGAGCAGGTCGTGAGGATGTCTCAGCACTCAAAAGCGGGAGTTGCCACAGGGGGTATTTCACGAGCCCGCTCGCGGCCAGGCTGTGAGAATGTCTCTAGCGGTGTTGCTTGTCTCGGTGCTCGGGCTCGTCTGCTTTTAGAGCAGACGGTGAGGAAATCTTGAGCGAGGCGCTGGCTTCAGCACTCTCAAGGACGAGCCGTCCGGAGGTATGTTCACGGGCCCGCTCGCGGCCGGATTGTGGAGACCCTTGTGGCTTTGGGCAACTTTTCCCAGTGTCCACCTCCGAGTTGAAGGTGTCTCCGAGAGGGGCTACTGAAGTTGCCGACAGGGGGTCCTGCTGGACCCCGCAGGGTTCAAGAGGCCCCCGAGATGGCCCAAGATGGTTTTCAACACGGCCTCCACACGGCTCCCAGTCAGCCCGAGCCCCAAGACCGCATCAGGCAGGCAGCCCCCAGACAACCCCAAACATTGCCTAAGACGCCAATGGACACCAAGATGGCCCCAATATATACCAGAATGGCTTCCAGAGCGCCCAACAGAGCCCAGGCATGTCCCGAACATGCTTCAATATTGCACCGACAGGGCCCAGGGGACCCCCGGGCCAATATTTGGCCACACGCGCTGGAGGGGGAAGCAGACGACGACGGCGGCGGGGAGGACTGCGCGGAAAAGGACAAACCACGGACCTAACGTAGACGAAAGTGACGACGACGACGACGACGACGACGACGACGACGACGACGACGACGGCTTGGCTCTGCACTGAGTTCTATAGCTTCGCATTGCAATTTGCCATTGTGTTAATTTACGTGGCACGGCGTTGGCTTATTGTTTCATTTGTTTCCTATTACGTCTTTTTGCATCGCAGCGCATTGCGCAGTTTTGTATTCTCTCGGGTTGTCCTCCGTGAGTGGATGTTTGCAGGGGCAGCTGGTGCCAGCTTGATCCTATTCTCACACATCCTCTAAACATCTGGACATTACCATTTGCATCCGTACAATGTTTCACTTTGCGTTTGTGGAGTGGAACCTAAACGCGCGAAGCGCGCGCGAAGGTTCCAGCACATGTACCTACATGACCACCCTTCGGGTGATCAGGATGTTGGTTGGGGAAGAACGACCCAACTTACGACGACTGAGATGGCGGGACACCCACGGGACACCGACGGGACTCCACGGCGGGACAACCCGGCCACCGCCCGCCAACGGCCGGGGAGAGGCGGACAGCGACGGGACACCACGGCGGGACCACCTGGCCACCGCCCGCCCACCCGGGAGCGAGGAGGGGCGGTCAACGGCTCTTAACCAGCCGTGGCCACAGCGGAGTCATTCCTCTCGCCCGCCCACGCAGCTTCGCCTCGCCCGCAAGCGCGACACGATCCTGAAACCAACATCGATTTCCCGGTGGGGGGATCTCCGTTCCATCTCGATCTCACCCGCTAGCCGCAGATGTATCTGTATGTGTGTACATATACAGTGTATGTCTTCAGGATCATGTATGTATCGATGCAGACATATTCACATGTATACAGATGTATGTAATGCTCCATGGAGTACATTCTTTAAGAGTCCAGACAGCCGTGTAGCGTGCCGCCAAGGGTGTACCTCTTCATGGGCGGCCAACGGATGGGCCCACGGACCATGGGGCCTGAGAGCTGTTAAACACTTGAGAGTCCTTGCCCCCCGAGGCCCATCCTCCGCCTTCGCCTGCTCGCTCGTAAAGCCATCTGTGTGTACTCTTCGAAGAAGGACAACGCCATAAGCATAAGCATGTGGCGCCCCGCGCGGATTTCTTGGATCCGCGCTGGACCAACGTGTATGTTTATGTTGTGCGTGCGTGTGTGAGAAAGCTCTGAAATTACTGTCATTGGTTTCTTCATGGTGACAGGAGCCCTTCCAGCAGGAGGACCCCTCGGAGGCCCGCAAGCACGACGGCATCGGCATCGGCCTCGCCATCGTGCGCGAGGTTGGCCGCCGCCCCCTCCTGGGAGCGGCCCCGCCCAGCTGGCCTCCTCCTCCTCCGCCTCCTCCTCCTCCGCCTCCTCCATCGCGCCGTCGGGCGCGAGGAGGGAACGAGCTGAGAACTCCAGGCGGCGAGACCTCCCGCGCTCGTGGCCCTCGGGCGCCCCTCGCCGCCAGCGGACTCCCCGGGGCCGTCGGAGCCTTCTCTCAGTCCCCTGGGGCCGCCTGGGAACAGGCGCCCCCTGCGGGGAGGGTGGGGGGGGGGCTTGATGTCGCGGTCCAGAGGCCCTCCCCTTGCATGTTCTTGCATTCCTCCCTCACTCCCCTCCCCCCTCCCCCCAACGGGTAGCTTGAGCAGAGCGTTTCACTTATGGGCGTGGCTAGCTCGCGAACCCGTTTTCGAGTCGCAGAGTCGTTGTCCAGAGGGGCGGGTTTGGCTTCGGGAGCTCTGGGAACGAGAGGGGTCGGGCAGCACATGCATCGATACTGGGCAGACCATCCTGGGGCGAGCATCGGTCTGCATTCTTCACTGGCCAGGCAGGGAGGGCATATGCACCGATCCTGGGGTTGAGACTGGGCCCGGGCAGATCGGTTTATGTGCACATTTCTCGTCCTCCCGACGAGTCCCGCGGTTTTGCGGCCTGCCTTACGGTGTGTTCTGGAGTAGCGGTATGGAAGAGATTGCGCATGCGAGCGGCTTTTCATGATGCCAGTGACGGGCGGCAGTGACGGCGGTGAAAATGGTGATGGCAATGATTCGTTACATATGTAACGAGTGCCTTCGAAAGTTTGACGATGGCCTGCTTTCGCATTGTCGTCGCCGTCACAGGCATGACTATGGCTTGATTTGTGATGGTACATCATCCGCAATGGTAATCCGCATGATGTTGGTAGGTGAGGCGTGTTGCATGATCTGATACAGATGACGCAAGTATCATCATCATCATCATCATCATCATCATCATCATCAGCATCATCATCATCCTCCTCCTCCTCCTCCTCATCATCATCATCCTCATCATCATCATCATCATCGTCATCGTCATCGTCATCGTCATCATCATTTCTATGCCCTTCCATTCGTCGGACTCCCAGCTTCAATCTTCGATGGCGAGTCTTCGCTCTTACGGCTGTACAGCATTTCTGATATAATCTAGGTTAAGATCAGTTTGGGGCCAGATTACTTGGAGATTGCTCCACGGTGTTCTCGCGCCTGATCAGGTGGTTTCCCAGCGTGCTGGGGCCAAACTCAGGGTTCCCGATCTCTTCGCTGGCCACCAGGGCCCCGCGCTGCGATGACTGGCTGAGCTGCCATCGGGGGACAGTTGCGGTTGCTGTGCCCTGTCGTGGCGTGGCGCTGCAATGTTCGCGCGTCCGCGGCAGTGGACTCAGCGGGGGGCGAAGGGTGGGAGGGGGATTGGCTCAGGTGCGGAACATTTCGAGCCTCAATCGCCCATTCACCGTCGACCAGGCACGGGTGCCACACCCTGCCCAGGAGCACCCAGCTTCGCGAAGGGGGGCCCATCGGCGGCGCCTCGCCGCCTCCGGGCCGATAGCCCCCGCCTCTGATGGGCATCGCTTCACCGAGCCCCATCCCACGCTGGCGTGGCCTGGGCCCCACTGGCCGAGCTATCCCCCCCCCCCCCCCCAGACGGGGAGAAGGGCCGTTCCCGTCGGGCCTCGAGGGGCATGTCCCCAGCTGGGGTGGTGGGATGGTGGGGATCGGGCCGGGGAATGGGGACGCGGGGACGGGCGAAGCGAGCCTCGCCCGAGCCGGCCCCCCCCTCTCCCCCCTCCTCCTCCCGCAGGCTGGGGGGGGGCCACGCGCCCTGCCCGGGATCTCGCCGCTCCGCCGGCGCGGGCCCATCGCCGACCCACCAGCTCAGGAGGAAAAGAAACACACAGACACAATTAATCGTCGATGTCCTAGAAAATATGGGAAAATATGAGAAGTGGGGGGAAGACAAAAAACCCGAAAAATGGGAAAATATGGGGAGCCTGTTTTTCTTTGGACTCGGGCAAGTTTACTTGCATGGACGGGGGGGGGGGGGCTGAGTCTGAGGCAAGCCGAACACAATCCGACGTGCGGGAATCACGCCAGTCGAGAGGCACCTGCACGCTCGTGTTCGATGGAAGAGGGGCGAGGGGGGAGAGGGCGGGGGGGCGAACGCCATGCGAGTAAGCTTGCCTGGGTCTAAAGAAAAACAGGCTCCTGCCACCAGCTCAGGAGGAAAAGAAACACACAGACACAATTAATCGTCGATTTCCCAGAAAATATGGGAAAATATGAGAAGTGGGGGGAAGACAAAAACCCAGAAAAATGGGAGAATATGGGGAATCTTTTTATTTGTGTGTGTGTTTATTTGTGTGTCCTGGGGCCCCTTCGCCAGCGGAGTCTCGCTGCGTCCAGGTCGGCGTCCCCCGCCCGCGAGCCGGCGCCTGCGCCCCTGCCGGCGGGCGCCCGGGGGGTGTGCGGCGGGGGGGGGGCGCCCGGTCGGAGCGCGAGGCCTCGGAACGCGGGCCCCCTGAGGTCGTGTGCCCCCCCACGGCGCCTCGGTTCCGGGGCGGAGTTTTCGGGCCGTGTCATTCCTCCTCCTCCTCCTCCTCCTCCTCCTCCTCCTCCTCCTCTTCCTCCTTCCCCTTCCACTCCTCCTCCTCCTCCTCCTTATCCTCCTCCTCCTCCTCCACCTCCTCCTCCACCTCCTCCTCCTCCTCCGCCTCCGCCTTCCGTAGCCATTTGGCTCAAGCCATTTTGGCTCAAGCCATTTTGGCTCTGGTGGCCAGGCACCAAGGCCGGGAGCGGACGCGCTCCCCTGGCCCCGCGGGGCCGCTCTCCCTCGGCCCGCCGCGGCCGCGCCCTCCTCCCCTCCCATCGCTATGCCGTCCGAGGTCAGCGAGTCCTGGCCAGTATCGCTCACATCCACTCCTCCCGCCTCCCCTGGAGGGATGAGTACCCCCCCGGCGGCGCCTGGAGGTATGTCCACGGAGGGTATGAGGGACACCGGGAAGATCCTCGCAGCCATGCGTGATATGATTGCTCCTCTGTCGTCGTCGGTCGCCAGCCTGTCCAGTCAGTTGAATCTCGGCGTGCAGGAGATAAACCAACAGATTTCGGGAATCCAGGGTCAGATGATCGCCGCTGAGAAGAACTTCCAGACATTACAGCAGGCGCACACGGAAGTGGCAAAACAGACGGCAGCCAATTTCGAGCAGATGCGTGCGATCCACGAACAGGCTCTCCTTCAGTGCACTCAGGACCGTGAGACCGCAGAATCCGCCATCCGTGATGAGCTCAAAGGAATGATCCAGACGATGCGTGACGAGATCCAGGACCTTCAGAAAGTCGTCGAGCTAGGGACCCCGACACCTCGTGGGGGCGAAGAAAGGCAAGTCCGTCGGAAGGTCGACTCTGGGCTAGTGGGTAACCCCTCGCGTCTTGTGGTTCTTGGTCTCCCACGGCCGCTGATGGAGAAAACGCTCCGCGAAGCTGTCCAGAGTATCCTCACCCGCTGTGCTCCGTCTTCGACTCAGGGTTCGATTCAGGTCAAGGCCTACGATTGCAGCAAGAAGGTGTTCCTGGACTTTGATTCCAACCTAGAGGCCTCCACGTTCCATGGAATGGCCTCGTCCGTGGGCACGTTCCCCTTCCCGAACCCTGAGGGCGGTCCCGACTTGCAGCTACGGGTCCGACGTGATCTTCCCCCTTCTTCCAGGAAGCTGTTCTGCTATCTCGGGAATATGCGACAGCATGTCTCCAGAATCTTCGGGGCGGACAAAGTGGGGTCGACGGGGCTAGGAGGTGCGGTGTATGTGATGAAGGACAACGGAGTCCCTGTGCAAGTGGTGGAGATTTCTATTGTTGATGATGGCCCCACCGCGGGCACCGTGCAGTGTGGCGTCGAGATCGAGGGGTTGACGGAAGTGGGGGGGCAGCAGCATGCACAGTGTCTGCACGCCAGGTTCGCAGAGATCCGCCCCTTTCGGTGAGTATCGGAACAGTTCGACAGGTGAGTGTGCGGTGGGGAGAAGTCCAGTGGGTTCTGCTACTGAGTGCTCGTCCGCCCTCTCCGCCCAGTTTGATGTACACCACGCAAGTGACCGTGCTTTATCCTTCTCGCCGCCTGCTGGGGAAGCTGGTGGTATCTACCGTCCTGCCCGTCCTCTGTCTCTCTGCAGTTGGAACACGCGCGCGCTCTTCGCCTCTCTTTCGTCTCGTTCATCTCGGTCACGTTCACGCTTCCTTCGGGCTAAGCAGCTGCTCTCACAGTATCAGGTCATGTGTTTACAGGAGACGCACGGATCTGAAGCAGACTTGGTAATCCTTCGGGACGAAATGCGGACGAGGCAAATTTTTGGGAGCTTTCTGGAGGATCGGAACGCGGGGGGGGAGGGGGGACCTTCCTGTCTTCGGATCTCTGTGACTGCTTCGACCCGATCGCTCCGATTACAGTCGTTCCTGGGCGGGTGTTGCTCGTCCATGGTCGGGGACCTCGAGGCGACTACTTGGTAGTGGTCAATGTACATATGCCTAACTCGTGCGATGACGTTCGTATCTATCATCAGTACTTTATTCCTGCCCGTATGTTTTCTGGATGGTGGTGCCATTCGATGATACGCACGACGAATGAGGATGCGGCGGACCTCGTGAACTCTCCCATTGATCGCACTGCCCGTCTTATCCAGGCCAAGGTCCATCGGCACTTACGGTCGGTTCGTATGACTGCCACTGTGGAGCGTGCCACGTGCACACATCTTGCTACCAACGTTCTCCGTGTACTGTCCAGGGGCGTTTGTACTTCGGCACGTTTTCATGCGAATGACCGTGGGTGCTGCTTTGGGTGCGTGGCCCCTGATGACCTTCACCACTACAAAATCTGTGATCGATTCCGTGACCTGGCACTGCACCGACTCCCTGGGTTGGAAGCGTTACCCGCGCCGTGGAGGGGGATGTGGCAGCACCGAGATACCTGGCTTACCTGTCTTTGTCTGATGGGACCTTCCTGGGGGCTCGACCGCGACGTTGCCTGCGCTGCCTTCGTCGATGCATTTCTGAAGACCCACGCCCATCATCGGCGCCTGACTCAGGTCCCCTCGTCCCAGGTCTGCGTTGCTCGATTGCGTCTTCTGGCTCGTCGGTATACTGGTGTTGCACGACAGTTCAGGGCGCGGCGTATTGGGCGGGCTGCCACGTGAAGTGATGTCGTCTGAGTGTGACCGCTCCCTTTCATCCCTCGCGCGTGTGCTCTAGTGCTCCTCTCTGCGTTCCCTTGCCTCTCCTGTCGCTTGCTGTCTTCCGTCTCCCCTGCCTCTGCCGCTGCCCCTTCCCTGCGGGGTGGGCGTTGTTGGGTCCTCGGTTTTTCCCGCCCCTGCCTTCCCCTCTTCCCCCTGCCTTTCTTCCGGCCCGCCCCCTCGGTCCTCCTGCTGCTTGCTCCGCCGCGCGTGTGCTGTTGCTGCTGGGGTTGGGCCCCCGCCTGGCTGGGGGAGCGCGCGCGGGGGCGCGCGTGCACCCGCCCCGCCGCTCCCTGCCGCCCCCGCCGCCCGCCCCGTCGACGACCTGTTCAACTGTGCCCGTTGCGCCTCTCTGGGAGGTAGGGGGCCTGCCTCTTGATTTTGTCTAGGCGTTTTTCGTGCTTGGGTTGTGGGTCGTGGTGACGGTGGCCTGGGTTGCAAGCGCCCGAGGCTTGTGGGGCATGGACCCTGTCCTCCCCCGTCACCGAGTGCGCCCCCCCGCTGCCGAGGACTCTCGTTAGGGGGGATCGGTAGCGGGCGGTGCTGCCCCGCCCCGCCCCGCGCGCGAGGTGCCTCGGTACCTCCCACGGATGGACGACGATCGGCCACCCGTTGTGCACGGGCGTCAAGTACCCTGTCCTTTCTCTCCTCCTTCGCTGCTCCTCTGTTGCCGCTGCTCCCCCCTCCTGCGCGGATTTCGACGTTGGCAGGCATGGCCTGCTGCTGCGCTGCTGCCACAGATCACGGATTACGGACCTGGGATGGAATATAGATGCGCGGGGCAAAAAAATCCTCCTCCGCCTCCACCTCCGCCTCCACCTCCTTTTCCTCCTCCTCCTCCTCCAGGCGCCTCGGTTCGGGCTGGGGGCGGCCAAGAAGTGCGGCGATGGCGGCAGCCAAGGCGCTGAAATGAGAGACAGGTTGGGTCCGGGAGTGGCTCGATGTGTCGTAGGTTCCTCCACTGTTGTTCCTACTGCGCGCCTCCGGCACGGAGGCGCCTTTCCGGCCAGAAAGGGGCTTCGTTCCTTACTCGGCGTTCTTTAGTTCACAGCGGACCGACTGTAGGAGGGGGGATCTCATGGCGGGGGCCATGAGGCCTTTTTAGATCTCATGTCGCCTCTTCTTCTTTCGGTGCGTTCCCTGACCCCCCCACTGGTCCGCGCACGTGCCTCGGGGCACGACTTGCCCCCCCTCTTGGACGCCCCCCTCTTGGACGCACCTGACTCTAGGCCTCCCAGATGGGGTCCGAGCAAATGGGGTCGGAGGATCGACCGCATCGCAGATGCATCGGCGATGCGGCCCTATGTGGAGCCCGATTTTCTCCACGCCAGCGTCGCCGATGCAACGCCGGCGCCGTCGATTTTATCGCCGATGTCTCGCCGATGCATCGCCGATGCATTGGCGATGCATGGGCGATGCGGCGCGATCCTCCGACCCCATCTGCCCGGAACAACCCGCTTGGGAGATGTTTTGGTTTTTTGGTGGTTTTTTGGTGGTCACTCGGGCACGCCCGGGGTGCTCTCGGCGGAGCGCACATCTTGGGCCGTCTTGGAGGCATCTTGGGGCCATCTTAGCCGTCTTGGAGGCAATCTTGGGCCGTCTTGGGGACGTTTTGGAAACCATCCTGGGCCATCTGGGCCGTCTTGGACGCCATCTTGGGCCAACTGGAGGAAACCTAGGCACGACGGATGCGTTTTGAACGCCTTTCCGGGTGGCGAGCGGGACGCGCTGGAGCCCCAGGGGGAGTCCTTTGGGAAAAAAAACCAAAACCGAGAGGGTTTAACACGCCAGGCACCCCTTTGATGAATCGACAGGGGGCGGCGGATCTAGCTGCATTCGACCCATCCCGCCACCGTGGCTGGGCTGTGGTCAAGAAGCCTCTTAGATGCCTGTTGGAGTCTCTTGGGATGCCCCTCGGAGGCGTCTTGGAGGCTTCTTGAGGGAGCCCTTATGGGGGTGTCTTGAGGGGGGCATGTTGAGAGTCTTGGGGGCAATCTGTGGGGGAAATGCGTTCATTTTCCCCTCTTGGGCCCCCTTGGGCCCTCTTGAAGGCCTCTTAAACCGTCTTAGGGTGCTGCTGGGCAGTCTCGGGGCCCTAAGGGCCGTCTTAAGATACTCACGGGGCCCATTTAGGCAGTCTCGGGGTGATCTTGGTGACCTCTTGAGCCGTCTCTGAGCGTTGGACGTCAGAACAGGCGAGAACGCCAAAATCATGCAAACACTTACGGCAAGTCAGTGATGTTTTTAGCTTTTTGGTGTCTCCCAGGGTGCCCGCTTGCAGCTGTTCTGGGGCGTCTCGGGGGCTTCGTGGGCCGTCTTGAGGCAGTCTCGGGCCGTCTCGGGCGCTCTGGGGCCGTCTCGGGGCCTCGTGGACGGTCCTAGGGCCCTCTCGGCCCCCCCTGAGTCCATCTTGGGCCCCCTGGGCGAGACATCCCAGTGGCCCTGCGCCACGCCACAAGAAACCCAGCAATGGCCCCCCCCCCCCGAAAGTTGGGACCTGATGAGATTCCACTGCGTCCCTGCGGCGCGATGGCGGGTATGTGATCGTTTTTGTTATTCATTGTTTTGCCGATCGGCGCGGGCCCTCGTACCCCCCCTTCTCCCCTCCCTGGAGTAGATCTTTGCTGTTTCTTGGCGCCTGTTTCTAGCAGATGGAGTCTCCCCTGATAGGACGCACTGTCGCAAACAGTCGCACTAAACAGAGCTCCGGAGCCAGACTCACCCTCCCTCCCCCCCCTTCCGCCCAATGTCGAAACGCCTAATGAAAAAACGCTCGCTATTGTGGCAAGAAAATGCCTGCCCTCGCCTGCCATCGGTCAGTCTGGACGAGGCTCCATCCGAGCCTTGTGTTCTGAGAAGGCTTGTGTCGAGTCACGTTCCGTTCCCATATGTATGTATGTATGTATGTAGGTATGTAGGTATGTATGTATGTATGTATGTAGGTATGTAGATATGTAGGTATGTGTATATATATGTTTGTGTGTGTATGTATGTATGTATGTATGTATGTATGTATGTATGTATGTATGTATGTATGTATGTATGTATGTATGTATGTATGTATGTATATATACATACATAGAGATATAGAAGTATGGCGCTGCTGCCGCAGAGGATCCACACTGTGCAGATGAGGAGTGCGCAGGGAGCTTGTCTTCACTCCTGCCAGGAATCCTGCCTTTCCGACCCCTTTCTGCCACTCCTATGCTGACAATCCGCCGAGATGGGGGAACATGTTTTTGTGCGCGGGTCTCCATGCCCCCTGATCCCTCACCGAACCAGGGTCACCCGAGACAGAGACGACTCCCTCCCGCGTGGCTCAGGTCGTGCGCCTGCACAGCGGTGAGCTGGCCATCAGGAGCCGCTCCTTACCACTAGGGCAATTGAAGCCTTCCGCCACGGTCCTCCATCTGCGCCACGACGTTGTATTCCCCCTCCCTGCGACGCGTTGTTCAAACTCCTCTTTGGCTCTATGTTTTGCTTAAGCGCTCTTGCGCATCATTGTATTCCTGACCTCGCATGCGGTACGGTGGACCAGGATGTATGCCCACGTGACGTTCTTCTTTTGCTTGTGCGCACCTGCTTACGTGCGCATCCTCGCTTCTTATCGCTCGCTTGATTACCGTCTTGCTTTTTTATGCTTGATCGCAGTGGGCCCCGCTAACTGTGTGTGTGTGTGTGTTTGTGTCTTTGGTGGTTTACTTTGCTTTCTAGCGCATGTCTGTGTGCTCTCCCCGAGCAGGGCTCGTACCTGGGGGATCACTGTTCCGCCTGTTTGAGGCACTGGCTGTGCATGCCGGGGGTTCGGCGCGTGCATGCACGTGGGCGCGCCGTGGGCGCCCCGCGCGCGGGGGGGTCAATGCCGAGGCTTCGCCTGGCGCCCGTCCGCGAGGGGGCGCCCCGCGCGTGCGGGGGCGGGGGGGGGGCGTGCCCGAGGTCTCGCCCCGGAAGGCGCCCATGGGCGCCGCGTGGGGCGCCCGGCACGGAGGGGGGGGGGGATGTGCCGAGGCGTCGCCCGGTGCCCTCTCGGGTGGGCGCGCTCCGCGCGCCCGGCGCCAGAGGGGGTTCTGCCGAGGTTTTGCCCGGTGCCCACCCCTCGGCGGCTCTTGTGCGCCCCGCGCGGGGGGGGGGGGGAAAAGGCGAGATTTCGCCTTCTTCTGCCGGCCCGTGGGCGCCTCGTTTGCGCGCCGAGCTTGTGCCACGCATGTAGCAATCATAGATTACACCAGATAGCTTGCACTGCACAGTTTGCACCATGTAGCTTGCACCAAATAGCTTGCACCATGTTCTTGCACCACGTTGTTTGCACAACGTAGCATGCACCACATCTGTTGCACCATATATCTTCCAGCGCACAGTTTGCACCACGTAAATCCGCGTGACAAATATTTGGCTCCATCCAACCTACCGGACCCAGACTTCTCGCCCCCCCTTGGACGTTTACGTACGATTCTGCCCCACGACCGTTCGCTCTCCATGTGATGTCACACTGTGATGGGCTTTCACTTTCGCGGGTCTAGGTTTAGCTAGCGGGTCATTATCATGAGAGGTGTGAGCCAAGAATCACGGATGTACTTGGTCCGTTGCCGGGTTGGCTCAAGGCTAAAATGCATCTGCGTCATCTTGCTGCTGCCACAGTTGGTAGCGGAGCGGGGCTAGCCATGGCCCGCGTGGGTGTCGGAGACTGCAGGTGGTGAGAGCCAGCGGCAGCTCGACGCTCCAGCGGCTGGGCTGGTTCCGCTCCACGAGACGGACAATGTGGGATCCACGGCAGAAACCAGAAAGCCGGCAGACGACGAGGCGACGTACGCAGTGCTGGGGTCCGGGGGCGCTTTTGGCGAGGGGACATCGCCAGGGGCACGGAGCGGAGCGACGCCAGCTGCTCAACCCGCAGGAAACGAGCTGCCTGCCCGGGTGCAGGAGCTCGTGAAGAAGCTGGCGCAATACATTATCAGCGGGCATGAAGCAGCTGGCGGCGCCGCGGCGCCGCGTGGAAGTGGTGGCGAAACGCATGGCGCCGAGGGCGCCGACCCATGGAGCGACTCCGACCTTTGGCAGGCGTGCCGGGCCAGAGGCGACGCCGAATGGCAGGGCGACTTGGACGGCCGGCGGCGACAAGGGCTGGGACGCCGATTGGATTGGCGGCGACGCAAGTGGCGAGGCGACGCTGGCTGGGACGCAGGCGGCGACAAGGACTGGGACGGCGGCCATTGGCAGGACCGTTCCGGGTGGCAGCAGGACGATTGGACTTCCTCCGATAGGTGGAAGACCTGGCAGATAGCCGCTCCCCAGGGAGATTTCACCGGGCCGCCGGCGTGGCCACGCTGGACGCACTATCGCCAGAGGAAGAGGTCGGTGCAGCGTTGGAACCGCAACGCCGACGTGCCAGTTTGGAAAAGGTCTGACAAGTTTCTCGAACTGCTCGACTGGGCGATGCAATCGAAGTTCGAAGACATTCCCGCCGTCACTCTGAACGGTCACCAGTGGCGAGAGGTAGTGCTGCAGAGGATGGACCTCATGCGTGGCAAGCGTGACGTGAAGCATGAGGTACGGCAGAATGGTCGACGAGCGCTGTGCGAAGGAGCACGTGATAGCAAATAGTCGCTGACCCAGTACGTGGCGAGGCGCGATCTGCAGTTTCAGGAGGCTGAGGGCAACGACCTCTGGCGCTCAGAGAATCTCAAGGGCTTGACGCTCGAAGAGGGGGCCGGCTTGTCTGTCGGCCCAGCAGAACATGGGAATGTTGACCCGGGGTGGCCTCGAGCGCAGGCAGGTCTCCCGGACCTTGAGACAGATGGATTTCGGCAGCGCTGAGCCTGCGATGCCTGGTAGGTCCACGTCTCGCATGGCGACGGCCGCGGAAGTCGGTCCCGCCGGCGAGATTTCATATCATATTGCTCTTCCCCTGCCCATCGGCGCTTCGGAGCCCAATCTCGGCGATCGGCGCGGCGAGGCAGGGGCCGGCGAGGATGGGTCTGAGGGCGAAGATCTGAACGACGAGGACGTCCTGGCCAGTTTGGCGGAGATGATTGAACATTTGGAGCTGGGCGAGGACGAGGCCGAGGAGGTCTCCCTCCAGCTAGAGCAGAAGAAACGAACGTGGAAGCATCGTAAAGACCCCAAGTGGACAGCCAAACGTGGCAGGGAGTGCTTCCGCGCGACTCGACCGTCTGGCGCCGACGGTCGAGGTGGAGCTCGGGGGCGCGGCGGAGGCCGCCGCCCGGGCCGAGGCCGCGGGGGGGGCGACCGCTCGCGCCCAGAGAGGCGGGGGCGCATGTCACGAGAGCAGCTCATGAAAGTGACGCGCGCCAGCGGGTCGTCTCCGGGGGGCAGCTCGACACCTCGAAGATCCAGGAGGAGGTCAACGCCGTCTCCTTCACGACGGCTGCCAATCAGGGGCCGGTCGCCCCCGGCGCCGGGAGCGACGTCGTCGGCCGCGCCTCGCTCAGCGAGACGGCCCAGGGGCTGGCCGAGCACGGGCTGCAGCGCGCAGTTGCGCCCGAATCTTCGCGCCCGCTTCGGAGCGCGCATGGGGGATGGGGGCCTGCAACAGCGATTGCAACGGTGCTGTTTCCTCTCTGTCTCGGCGGCGCGTCATGAATCATCGAGGCAGCAGTTTTGCATGAAGATGTCTCGCGCATCTTGAGCGTGAACTTGCTATTTCTTGGAATGGGGCCGGGTGCCCTCGAGGAAGACATCCCAATGGCCAAGTTCGGGCTTGGTCGCAGAATGGCCGACGTCGTCGGGCACATTGCAGGTTGGGGCAGGACGTTAGCCGACTCTCTGAGCAAGTATTCTTTCCTGAATGCCAAATCTTTCTGACTTGGCGGGGGCCGGGCTCCGGAGATGAGCTCAGACGGCGCCGCGGGTCTGTGTGTCATTATTCCTCCTCTCATTACCTTCGCTTTCTTCGCCGGGGTCGGCGGGCGTCTAGGGCCCCGGGGCCTCGAGTTCCAGGGCGCCAGGAACGGCCTCGAGTGGGGCCCCATTGGCAAGAAGCAGGGCCTCGAGGGCCTCGGCGCCACGAACGGCCTTCAGGAGGGCCTCGCAGAACACGCGGAGCGCCTCGCGGGCCTCGTCGCGGGCGCGCGCGAGGGGGCCTACAGGCGACTAGCTCGGCAAGCGTCTCGGCCATCAGCCCGGGGCTCAGGATCCGGCGGGGGTGCCAGAAGGGCGCTCGGGGCCCACCACTGCGCCAACAGAGGGGGGTCAGAGATTCCGAGGCTCGACTCCACCTCCGATTCCGCAGCGCATGTCGGCTCGAGCCTAGCTATCAGCTTTCCAGCGCGTCCGACTGGCGGCCTTGTAGTTTTCAGCGCCTGATTCGGGGCGCAGGATGGCCCTGCGCTCTCACGTCGTGGCGCCGGCGATCGGGCTGGACGTAGCCGGAAAGAAGGAGATGCCCAGGGCGCAGGGACATGCGGAGGAGTCCCTGGCCAGGCGCGACGCGGCACTGCGCGGCGCGGGGGCCGAGACCAACGGCCCCTCAGCTCGAGATCCAGCAGGTCCTCAACGCGCCGCCGGGGCGGGCGCAGCAGAAGCCGCAGCAGGCAGCGGCAGCAGCGGCGCCGATTGGAGAGGCCTGACGGCCGGCGCCGCCGACCCTGATCGAAAGGGCTAGGAGCGGGGGGAGGTGCTGGAGGAGGGGGGGGGGGGGGGGGGGAGGAGGAGGAGGAGGGGGGGGAGGAGAAAGGAGGGGGAGGAGCAGGAGGAGGAGGAGGAGGAGGGGGGAGGAAGAGGAGGTGGGGGAGGAGGAGGAGGAGGAGGAGGAGGAGGAGGAGGAGGAGGAGGAGGAGGAAGTGCATCCTTTGTGTGCCCGCTCGAAGAAAATGCGCCCCGGGTGTGTGATATTCTGACTTGGGACGTGCTCCCGGAAGAGGAAGAAGTGCATCTCGGGCGTGCTCGAGGAAAAAGGGGGGTGGCCCTGGGGGGGGGGGGGGGGCATTTTGACTCGGCGCCCGCTCCCGGGACGCCTCTGCGGGAGGAGGAGGAGGAGGAGGGGGGGGGGGGGGAGGGGGGGGAGAAGGAGGAGAGGAGCAGGAGGAGGAGGAGGAGGAGGAGGAGGAGGAGGAGGAGGAGGAAGGAGGAGGAGGAAGGAAGTGCATCCCGCGCGTGCCCGCTCGAGGACAGCGCGCCCCGGCGGGCGTCGCATCTGCCCCCCCCCCCCCCCCACCCACCCACCGCCCGCCCGCCCGCCCCGCCCCCGCCCCCCCTGCGGGGGCGGGATCAGAGGGAAGGGGCTTCCTTTCGACTCTGCTACGACGTCGTTTAATTTCGCTTTGGGTAGCGCGCTTGAGGAGGAGAGCCCTGGGAAGGGGAGAACGGAGACGACGGAGACAACGAGTCGAACGGAGAAGC